GGGTGTTATCATGTGGCCTATGGAATCAATATTTGCTACAGTACATGTATACTGTATATAAGTAGATTTTCTAATTAAAGACTGAACTGAAAAAAATAACTTTTGTCCTGGTGTCGATTTGTTGGATTTTCATGCTTCCGCTATTGCATAAGGTAGGCAGCGTAATTGTGTTTAATTTTAAGATTGCTTCTTATGGACAAATTCTAATGCAGCATTGCATGCATCTTTCACAGATAAGGCAATCCCAGAAGGCATTGCGACGTGACGCTCATTCAAACCGGCAGATAAGTAATCAGTTATTTCATTCAATAAATGTAAATTATTGATTAAAAATAGCTGTTTCATTTAGAATTTAGTACTGTATCTCTATTGGAATCAGTCGAGTTTCACATGTGTTTTGCTCGAGAGGCACTTTTTGAGTGTATGTAGAGCACTCTAAATCAAATGCATGTTGTTGTTGTTTTTTATCACAGCTAGGTTAGTGCCTTAAAGGGTTGCTGCCTATTTAGACAGAAAGGCAGGTTACTAGGTTTTACATTTAAATCCACTGTTAAAAGTATGGAAATAAAATAAAAATGTAAAGCTTTGTTTGTCAAGGGCACCTTATATTTGCCATATTTTGTCTTTTTTGAGTCCATATGGTTTGGTGTGTGTTGTTATCGTTAATTAAAACTCTTAAAAATAATTTATATTTTACTTTAATATAAATTTAAAATGTTGCCTTGGCAACTAATTGAAGTCTAAAATTGGTAGAACTGAAAAAGAAATGATGATTAAAGTGACAAGCACATAAATTACTAAAACATAGTAAAATTGAAATGAACTAAAATTAAAACAGAAAATATAAAAAAATTAAGCTAATTCAAAATACTAATTAATGCTGTAATATAAGAAAAAAATATTTGAAAAACTAAAATATAAATAAAATAATGCTGTGATATAATAATAAATTATACTATAATAATGTGTATTTGGTAGAGTTTAGTGCTAAGTTGTTAGTTTCACTTCTGCAAGGTGCAAGTGATGTTTGAATGTGAAAACATCTGAACGATCTGTTATTTACTTGCATATTAAAGTCAAAACAAGAAACAACATTTGCAACAGTCTTAAGTCACTGGGGTATGTTTGTAGCAATAGCCAAAAATACATTGTATGGGTCAAAATTATAGATTTTTCTTTTATGCCAGAAATCATTAGGATATTACTTTTACTTTACTTTTAGTCATTTAGCAGACGCTTTTATCCAAAGCGACTTACAAATAAGAAAAAGTAATTAAAACTAAAAGCTAAAACTCTATAAGTAAAACTTAATAAAAAGCCTATATAGACATAATAAAAAAACTAATAAAATGACAACATGACTACAACTGTAAGTAAAACTAAAATAGATAACTAATACAAATCAAAGTACATTAGTTCATCAGTAATCCTAAAAAATAACACTGAGGCAAACACACATGCTAAAATAACAACAACTTACTGACACATAGTAAGAAATAGTTTATAAAAACCTGAAACAGAAGTGGAAAGAGGAGAGATAAAAAGCGATACTTATGTCCTTTGCCGGTGTCCCTGCCCGGTGGAGTCGCACGGTAGAGTCGATGGTCTTTACACTCTTCGGTCTTCACACGACCGCAGCCGCGACCGCTTCCGCGGTAAACTAAGCTTCTTTTTAATTAGTTTAACAAAACTCAAATTGAATTCCGCTGGACACACTTTCCTGTTTATCCCAACAAATGGCCAAGCAAAGCGCACGACACTGACAAGGTACGCGATACAGTACGACACCAAACGCCATTTCAGCACGTCTCCACAGTAAACAGTAATCAGTAAAACAGATATTAAGTAAAGATCATGTTCCATGAAGATATTTTGTAAATTTCCTACCGTAAATATAACAAACCTTAATTTTTGATTAGTAATATGCGTTGCTAAGAACTTCATTTGGACAACTTTAAAGGCGATTTTCTCAATATTTAGATTTTTTTTGCTCCCTCAGATTCCAGATTTTCAAATAGTTGTATCTCATTCAAATATTGTCCTATCCTAACAAACCATACATCAGTGGAAAGCTTATTTATTCAGCTTTGTATAAATGTATAAATCTTAATTTCGAAAAATTGACACTTAAGACTGGTTTTTTGGTTCAGGGTCACATTTTAGAAATCAGCGAGTGAAGTATATTCTGCAAAAAAATATACTTCTTTAAAAAAATATACTATTTTATTATATACTATACTATATCAAACACTTCTTTTTCAGATCTTTTATTTGCTGTTATTAACATTATTATTAACATATCATTAACATTAACCAGCATTAAATTACTGCATTAACTATTGTAAAATACCCTGTGTTAACTGTATTAGTGGCCTAAAACAATTACTAAATAGTTATTAGTAATTGCTATTAGCTGTCAAACAGTAAAAGCATGGCTCTAGCAATGCAGAGGTCATGGGTTTGATTCCCGGGAAAACTGATAAAATGCAATGCATTTTAATGTCGCTTTGGATAAAAGTGTCTGCCAAATGCATAACTGTATTAGTTACAGCCTACTTTTGATTAACGTAACGTATCTTTTGATGAAAGATTATGGAGACAAAAAATAGCTCATTATAAGACCACCAAAATGTATTCATGAAGTAAATGTGATCTGAAGATTTCATGCTGATTTTTACAGCAGTCATGCTACAATCTTTTAAATCAAGTCACTGCATGAAAAATGATGCATGTTGTCAAAATGCAGTGAGGTGTCCACGTCCTTCATACAGTCGCTGAATGAGTTTGGTCTCTGTATAATGTAAAGAAATCTCTTTGTTGCAGCATTAATACAAAGCCGAGAACGTTTGTTAGCCTCCGGCTAGTGCGGGTCTCTCCTCTGTCACATTTTGTTTGCTTTGCTCCACCAACCCTACATGCCTCAAGAGAGCCAGACACCCAACTGAACAAGGAGTCATGCAGCAGTCCCTGCTTCATCTCATACTTGTATAAAGTGGAAAAAAAAACAAAAAAAACAAATTGGTGTGGGATTAACTTGACTAGCAATTTCTGAGTGAAAATTGTTTCAAATTTCACAAATAACTACAAAGAAATGGCAAGTGACACGTTGAATGAAATTTTTTTAATTAAATTATTTTCTTGTAAAATATACTCAAATAATTCTTTATTTACAGCTATATATTGACTGCAATTCTAAGATCTACTTTTTGATTAATGGGTTTACCTTTCACTCAGTGTTTGCATTTTGAACAGGGATCAGGAAATTCATCTGAATATGAAGAACTAGTAGTAGTAAAGTAGAACATAGTGTTTGCCCCAGGATCAGATGCATGAATGCTGTTTAAGAAACCACTGATTGTGTTTCACTTTGCAGTGTAGCGAAAAAGACCAACTAGCCAATGGACTTCATTTAAAAAGGATGCAAGCAGCAGCACTTCAACAACAGGTATCGTCTCGCCTCGGATTAAACACTGGGGATCAGAGCCCAGCTGGCAGAGGACACATCCTTGCAGACGCCTCTGTCTTGAGGTTCTTCTGCAGCTGTGGCCCCTGAGAGATCTTTTTCTGCCCTCCTTGAGAAACGGAGATAGACACTGGTTAAAAATAACCTGAGACCTCGCCACAACTGAGACAATAAACTTAATGCAGAGTGACAGTCATGGAGCCGGAGATGGATTTTCTCAGTTCTTGTTGCAGGAGAAAGAGGCTTGTTTTTGCTTTGCAGCTGTGGCCCCTGAGAGATCTTTTTCTGCCCTCCTTGAGAAACGGAGATAGACACTGGTTAAAAATATCCTGAGACCTCGCCACAACCGAGACGATAAACTTAATGCAGAGTGACAGTCGTGGAGCTGGAGATGGATTTTCTCCATTCTTGTTGCAGGAGAAAGAGGCTTGTTTTCGCTTTCTCCGCCGTCTGAGTGCTGTGAACATCTCCTCGGCTCTGTCACGATGCTTGTTTCGGCTCTGCAGCACTGCAGTGTCTCTGTGCATCCTCACTGGACTCTTTCCAGACGGTGTCAGTTTGGCTTTCGCACACAGTACATTTTGTGTTCTGCCGAGTGCAATTGTTTTGATGGTAGTCCACCTTTCAGTCCACTAGCTTTGAATGTTGATGCACTCAGTGTTAGTGTCATTGTTTTCAGAGCTGCCTGGGAATTTTTTAAGGATGAAATGTGGTTTTGTATATCTATCTATCTCTCTATATATATTGCATATTTGCATTGTGTTGGTACAGCACAGTGATTTTGTCTTTTATTAAAATTAAAAATCACAAGGCTCTTTGAATGTTTTAATAAAGGATCAGGTCCATTCTGCAAAACAAGCAAGCAATATAGACCAAGAGCCACATTCATAACGCCGCGTGTTTGTTTGATTTATATCAGGCAGCCTGCAGCAGTAAAATGCATTTTCACGTATTCATTTTTCTCCATGGATATCCTCCGTTTGTGTGTTTTCCAGCAGCAGCAGCAGCAGCAGTTCTTCAGACGGAAGCTGACTGCAGTCTACAGGCGACAGCTGCAAACTGAGCAGGTGCATATATTATTCACTTCTGCAAACACGCACGCTTCTGAACGCACTGACCAGATACATCGTAGCTGTCGTGCATTATTCACTTAATTTAAGTGCATTAACTGCTAAAATACAGAATGGTCAAATTTGCATGATAATGTCTTAAAGCACCTTGTTCAACTGTATTTCGGTCTACTCTCTGCTTAAATCAAATGTCTGTTAATCCAATCAAACAATGAGTTAAAACAGAGATAAAGCACTTTTCGTTTATCATCACTTTAGAAAGAAAAGGACAAGTCGAGCCCATTCCATTGTGAGATACAGTATTCCATGCATGCGTGCTCTGTTCTGTGTTACACACTGACAAATGTCAAGTAATCTGGGTATTTTATGCATACATAAAATTCATACATAGTACATACTTCAGCAATATTAAAATTAGTATGGTATTCCAGTATGGTATTTAGTGATCTATAGCCTACAAGCCCTGATTAAATGTTTATGCAAACAACTAAAGATTTTAGCTCGCGCTTTGCTGCCCTCTGGAGGTTAAACACAATAACATGTGACGTCATCGTTCCAAGTGTTGAACGTGTTGTTTCCTACCAACGACAAAAAGACAATGTAAAAATACTGACAGATTCTTTATAATGGCACGCACTGCATAAAGGCCCTAGATCGTGTAATTTGAACAACTCACGACTTTCAAAACTGTTTTTGTCTAGTGATTTTTTTTTTGTCAGCTGAGCAATCAGTATGTTGTTCAACAACTGTAGCCTTACGAAAATTAACCATTGTTTTAATTGTAGTAAAAGTGTAGTAACCATGTTTTTTTTTTGGAGTATTGATTTATCACAGTTTTACTACAAATACCATGGTTGAACTATGGTTGGTGTAGCAAAACCATGGTTAATTTGTGGTTACCATGGTTTAACTATAGTAACCATGTTTTTTTTATGTGGTAAAACCGTGGTTAATTTTCGTAAGGGCTGTACAATCCATTGAACGCACTCCACTTCAGTCCCTCACAGCCTCGTTTTAATTCCTGTCATAATCAAATATGGCGCTGCCCTCACTAAGGTCTAGCTGTCGCATGGTGAAAAGAACAGGAAAGGTCTTCTAACACACCACATGGTGGAGCCACAACATTAAAAGAATTACACAAGATGGCAACATTACGACTTGTTTTGTCTTAGTAATTATATGACAACGGAAACAATCTTTCAAAGACACACTTTTTTTATTTAAGCTTTAGTTTTTTCTTTTTTTTTCTCTGTGAGACCGTGTCATTGTCTCATTTGTTTTCAGCATAACAGCAATGGTCGACACATTGATCTTGAAAAATATCACTCCTACTATATATTTTCATAGATTTTACTATATACTTTATCCCTCATATACAGCATATTTTCAAATATCAAATATTCAGGCAGGTTAATTATATCCATGTAATGTGATAGAAAAAATAGAATCACATGCAATCATTTCTTTCTGTTTACCACTGTATATGTACACTCTGCCGGGCCAAAACACCTGAACATGTGCTATAGCGGTTCTGCCAGTGCTCTGAGTTCAGACAGAAGGATGTGCAGTGACATGAATTCATCAAGTAAAGCAGTGAACAGATTTGTCTAAACAAAGTATAACTGGGATTCAAGGAAAAACCGGCTTTGGACATGAAATAGGAGCCAGTTCATGACAAAATTTTACAGGTGTTGGATCACTGATTCTTGAGTACTGGGACAAAACAGGTTACCCAACTGAAGAAGAAAAAAAAATCTACGAATTATTTGTGAAATTTACTACAAATTTCTGAGTGAAAGCCGTTTATGCACCATTTTTTTCCCCCCACTGTAACAGTGTTTTTCTTCATTTTTCTTTCAACACCGACAGATAAAAACATGTACTGTTAGGTCAAATACTTACGGATAACAAATCCAGCATTACACTTAAAGAATGAACTGATAATACAGGATGGTTTTAAACAATAGAACAATAGAAATTTGACATCTGAGTGTTTACATAACCATTTTGTTTTGGATGTAGTAAATCATTTTTCTGGTGTTGCTTGCTAATAACAGACCTACTAATGGCAGATAAAAATGTGGACAATTTTGTGCCGTAACTCAAGAATCAGTGCTGTGTTTTGCTACCACATGTTGCATTTGTATTGTAGCATGTCAAAACAATGCAAAACACATGTGAAACAAGTGAAATCAAAACCACACACACAAATCTTTTTCCAAGCTTAATAACCAATATAGCATACAGCAACTCTGATTCCATTTTTCTAGAGACGAAACTACAGCTGCATCTGATATCATATCCCTCATAATCTTAACAACTACTAAAATATTTCCAAGTCTAATAGGTGATCACAAGGAACCTCTATCAATGACACGCATATAAGAGATATCTCAGTTCACAGTGTTTCTGATGGAACAGTACCGGCCAACACCTAATGTGCAGCACATCACTGATACCAATATTTTCCAGATTTTGTCTTCGAGTTCATTATTGCTCAAGTAATTCTACTAAACATACATAAAAGCACCAATTACTTCATTAACTCGAAACCTAAATTACGTAAACCAACTTGGTAAACTCATTTTTGTAAATGGAGCACAAAATTCTAGGTGTTGCTTAATTCTAAGCAGCTCTCTTTTTAATTAAAGCCGTTCCTCAAAGTACATTTCACGTTTCTACTCTGCATTAAGTTCTTTTTTTTAACTGTATGTTTATAATAATACAATATAATATAATATAACATAATGCCTGTATTTAACATATCAATAAAATGCATATTATTTTTTAGTGATAAAAAGAAATACAGTTTTATATTTCTTTAGCCAAAACTTTTTCAAAATTTTTGCGGGACAATGTTGGTAATTTTTTTTGCATAGGAAAAAATATTCAGCTCTGATGTAAATAAGTACATAATTCTGTAGTTTGCCAAAATAAGGATTGTTTTTTTCTCTCTCTCTTCATGAACAATAAAAGAATATCAAAAGAGAATTGCTACAAAGCAAAGAATGGCAGTAATTGCCAGTGAAGCATAAACAAATCCTGGGACTAGATATCAAGTCGATGAATAAACAGTGTGAATTACTCATATTCAACATCTGATGGGCAATATTCCAACACTGAATAATACTGACCTTGCAGACATGAATACATTTTTTTCATTAGCAAAATACATATCTATAAACATGTATAACAAATAAGCTTGATATATTTAGATATGTACTATAGTGAGATCTATGCTTTAATATATAAAAGGTGCACTTGTTTAAATAATGTCATCTAGGAGATGTGGGTTGGCTACCCAGTCCAAAGTTCGTGGCTCAGAGGCTGCCATTATCATGCACATGAACTGCTTGCCAGTCCTTTTATCAATAGGGTAAATAGTAGTGGGTGTGAACCTCCTGTTATTCTCAACAAACTCACAGAGCTTTTGGTAGACATTGGGATACTCATGGCGAAGAAACACCCCACGTATCCTCAACTCCCGCTGAATGTTGATGAAGCAGATCTCCCGGGCTTTCCTTCCCTCCTCACCTTCCTTGTCAATGTCAGCCATACCTGGCGGTGGGGTCAGGATCAACGTCTCCATGTCGCTTTCCTTCCGATGGACCTTCTTTTCCGGGCTGTAGGAGGCAAGAGCAATCTTGGCAAACTTCCTGACGGTTGGGGCTTGGACCCTTGGCGATGGTCCGTCAGGCACTTTATCACCAACAGCGATGGATACATTCAAGAGAAAACATTCATTAGGGTCATATTCCTTTCCCGCCTCTTGGAGCTCCTTGCAATATTCCCCAAGGTTATCCTTGAAGCTCTCCAGCTCACGGAGAGATAAGTATGTTGGCGACATGAGTAGACTTTCTAGTCCAAACTGAAGGAAATTTGTGGACGAACCTGGATTTGGAAATCCCAAAAACAAGACACCCCTGCCCCGAGACAGGTATCCCACTTTGGCAATACGGGAGAAAGCTTTATGGACCTCTGCGGTTTCTCGACAGTGCTTAATAACGTGGCGACACACACTACCGATTCGCCCATAGAGGCAGCTCTCCTTGTGGACGTCCCAGTCTTCGCGGCGACAGTTGCGAGAGCAGTAGTAGGTATAGCAGCTGTGGCAGGACTTAAAGTAGAGGCAGGCGTTAAACAAGGTCTCAGTCCGACGGCATTTATTGTTTGAACACATCATTGTGTCGTCCTCATCGGGACTCTGGTCAGGGGAGCACTCTTCTGTACTTCTCAGGCCGTCACAACTCCCATCAGTGTCTCTTAGTGTGTCAGGATCTATTTTTATTGAAGTGGGTTGTTTGTCAAGTGGCATGCCACTTTCAGATCCTGCCATCGAATCCTTTCTCCTTGATCCTTGATCAAGCAGGTCTTCACTGGTCCTCCTAGTTGGAGGTTTGTAATCGATGACAAGGTCAGCTAGAAGCTCATCAAGCTGCTCTAAACTTTGCTGTAGGGATGTGCTGCTGTGCGTTTTCTCTTTGGTAGATTCTCCAAAGCGGGACTTTGCTTCACGTTGAGGGGCTTCTTGATTTGGGGCACTTTTTGAATCCAACACATCCCAACTTGCAGAGCGTGCTTCTGGTTTACTAAGATTGCTTGGTCTGATATCATTGTCTGTGATGGTAATCTCAGGTGTGACAAACCACAGTTTACTCGAAGAGCTCCGGGCCTCAGTTGGACTTTTGTCAATCAAAGAGTTTTCAGATAAGGACAGTGCAGCATAACGCCTTGGTGAGCTGGAAAGGTTGACAACCACAGGTTTTGGTCTTTCACTTGAAGTTTGTAGTACCCCCTGACAAAGAAGATTCTCATCACTTTTCCCTCGGGGTACTGGCTGTGCTCGCTCTACATGGGTATCAAGGATGTTATCCCAAGATCTTGAGTACGGTCTAGGGTCTGTTACTGTTCTTGCTGGCTCCATGCATGGGTTGGCATACCAAGTTGTGAGCTTTGGCTCTTGTCTAACTCTTGTGGGAGTAACCTGTGAGACATACGAGGAAGGGTAATGGCTTGAGTAGCCAGACACCTCTGAGCCGTACCAGTCCTCTGATTGAGGCTGCACCACACGGGCATGTCGTCTTCCCTCGGTGTAACATGCCCTTGCAGGAATATGATGCTCCATTGGTGGCGTGTAGGGGTTGGCCATGTAGAAGATCCGAGGGGGGGCCGTTTGAATCTGATATGTCCTTGGGTCATCGCCATAGAAAGTCCTTGCTGGAGGTGTCTGTATTATATATGCCTCTGGCTCACTTGCAGCATAGGTTTTAGGGTACACAGGCTGTCCAGGGTAATGGCAGGTGTCGATTTCTGTGAAATATGGCCGGGAAGGTACAGTATGAACAATGTGAGTCCTTGGATCTTGTACATATTGAACTTTAGGTGAATAGGGTTGGCTAGGAATGCTGTATCGGTCATCTTGATAATAAGTCCTTGATGGAGCTGAAGATCCATACTTCCCCAAATCCTCTGCATAGAAGAATTTAGTTGGCACATTGGGGCTTGAATGAGCCCTTCGTTCCCGTCCATATTGTTCCCTTGGCTCCCGTGGCGAGACCACCTTTTGTAAAGGGATCTCCATAGGCTGTATGTAGCTATTTGACATACTTTCGGAATACTGATTCGCCTGCCTGTACTCTCCAGTAAAGGACTCAGTGGGAGTCGGTGTCCTCGAAGTGGAGAAATGGCGAGGCACTGTCAGACTCCGACTGCCACTGCTGGGATACTTCTGCCAAGGTATGTCCACATGGGGTGTAGCTGCCTTTCGGCCTCCTTGCTGCACGGCCAACTCATCTGGTTTGATGTCCACCCGGCACCGAACATGAGGACTAGTAGCAGGTTTCTCTGGCCTTCCTTCATCAAAGCCTTCAGATACATATACAGGGGAATACCTGCTTGTATCACTCCTCTGCGGCTGCAATTTGATGGGATGTACTTCGTTCATGTGTGCTCGCGTGGCGGCATAGGAAGACTCTTTTCTTGGGGAAACTTCCGGCCTTGGCTGAGTATTTCGATGCACCCTTTGAGCTTCCCGGCCCCTCCTTGCCACTGGAGGGGAAGCATCAAAAGATACAGGAGTTAGGCTGGTCTGAACCCGTGAGGCACTTCTAGATCTAGTCCTCCTCTTTTGTTCTGTCACAGCAATTTCACCAGACATCTCAGCAGTCATTGGCTGGGAGGTGAGACGGTAGCTAAATATGTCTGGGGAAGAAAACCGGTGGAGTCCATGCCCTTGTTGGCGACCTAAGGCGTTCCAGGCAACCTCTGGATTGGCCGCATTCCTTTCAGCCCTTCGGTATGGGTACTCCATTGCTATTGTATGATATCGGGGTTTGTCCATAGACTCAGTGTCAAAGCTACGGCAGTGCCTCTTTTTGCCTTTGCTTTTTCGAGTGTTCTCCAGTTTGCTGATGGATGGGGAATCACATTGTTTTGAGGGATGACAGGCTTTAGAGTGGTTCGAGAGGGAGTTCACTTTAACATCTTGATACACTGTTGATACTAGTATATCAGGTGGATCTGTGCGTGTCATCTTAATGAGACTCTTCTAATTTTCCCCATTAAATTCGTTTAGGTTAAGGTTCCCTGCAAGAGAGGAAGAAAACAAAACAAGATTAGTATTGTACAAGTTGCATTCAAACCACCGTATGGATATGATCTGTAATACTGTGTGTGAATGCAAACAGTGTTTTTAGGAACTGGCTGATAACCATAAAAACACAACATTACTTTTAAATAGCCTGAATTTAATATTGTAAACAATAACTGCACAACATTCAGTATTCTATAGCCCCACATTGTTTATCATTATTTGATAAGCATTGCATGTATAAGGTTACCTTGGGGAGCAACTCATCAAGCCAAGATTCAGCGCAAATGTACATAGCAAATAGACCCAATTCTGATTCTGTAATGCTTCAACTGCATTGTGTTGTTCAGCAAAATACGTTGGCAGGATGTATGCAAGTAATTTGGAGGTGGCTGCCAGAGGATGATGTTATCTTATAACCATCATAGTACATACAGTGTGAGGGCTCAACAGAATTGCACTGAATCCCTAATACAAAAATCTTTCTTTTCACCTTTGAATTGTCTTGGAATGGTAAATCGCTTAAGAATGCTTACGTGATTCTAAACTTTTTTTTTAATCTCTTATGCTTGACTTCAAATTAAACTTTCATCAATTCAAATCTGCAGGTTAAAGGCAGGACAAAAATAGTGTCTTGAGTCTAAATTAGGTTCTTTGAAGGCTTTTTGAATCTTGTCATTCTCATAAACTTTATGCAAAACAGGTGCAATCATTTGTCATGAAGAACCGTATTGTACAAAGAGGACACAGCTGAAATAATGCATGTAGTCATTAAATATACAAAGTAATGCATGCAACAGAATATATACACTACTAGATTTTTTTTCAATTCACATTTAGTTCCACCTCGTCAATGTCTGTTTTCTTGCAAAAGGGAGATTAAATGGTTTTCAAGACCTCCTACACATTCCCCACAGCTAAGTTTATCAGATTGTGGAAATCACATCTTGTTTCTACGACAGATATTATGTAAAGGAACTGTCACTTCTACAAACATTACTATGCCCAGACGCTGTTTACTCACAGAGTGTTTGTCTGGCAGCTTTTCACATTGCCTCACACAATCGAGTAACTGGTGTGCATATGGAACACCCACCGTCTACCAACATACGCATAGTCACCAGACTTGTGCATGCAAGATTTTTTCTTGTCCCCAACTAATTTTTTTTTTTAAAGTTGAGGAAAACTGCAGGAACAATGGCATAAGATTGTGATGATTGAGATGATGACAAGGAAAGCGCTTTTCAAAATCCAGTACAATACTTTCCTTATACCTCCAATACACACTAGTGCACACATCATTACCATTAATAATAATAATAATAATAATAATTTTTATTTAAAATATCATGAATTTTTATCAGAAATGTTGTACGGTAACCCTGACATACCCAACATTTCAGACTTTTCCACTCTCAGGGTGATTAAACCACCGATACATTTTTTTAAATTGAAGCCCCACGAAAATATAAAAATGAAATGTAATTCTTAAATTGAAAAAAGTTAATCATAGGAATTGGTATATGAATTATATTTAAATCTATTTTTGAATAATTCCATGAATTTGGAAAAAAAGGCATTGACCCCACAAATAATGAACAACAAAGACAAACTGTGCAGAGCATAAAAGCTTTCATAATTATCAGTGATGACCTTGATCCCTTAAGAGAACTGGGCCCATATTCACAAAACATCTTAAGGCTAAAAGTAGCTCATAACTTGCCGATTTAGGAGAAAATCTTAAAAATAATGGGCGTGTCAATCCTAAATTTAGGACTCCTACATTTTTGCTCTAAGAGTATTTCACAAAGCGTTTTAGCGCTAAAACTAGCTCCTAAATCTGTGGAATGTTAGGAGTAGTGAAGAGGACTCCCAAGTCACTAAGACCAAACCACAAACTAGGCCTATCGTCCCTGCTGAAGAAAACCATAGAAACCATCACAGAAATTCTAATGGTTTCCACTACAAATACCATTACAAACATTACAAACCATCAACTTTTAACCATTAAAATAATAAAAAAAATGTTTCCTGTACTGTGTTTTGGGACATGTTCCATTAGTGGTTTTAACAAGCTAACAATAGAAGGCAACCAATTACCAGTAGAGACCAACAAGCACCATTACAGTTACCATTAAAACCAGTACAATTCTCATTATAACCAGTAAAACCATTCAAATTCTGTGATGGTTTCTATTGCTTTTTTCAGCCAGGCTAAAATGGCTGTTGCCAGCAATCTGCCTTGAAACATAAACATTTTAGAAACACGCTGCATTTATTGGCACACATATGTTTTCCCATGTATGATTTTTTGGTTATCCCAACTCCAAATTTTCCTTTGATTATATCCTTGTTTTCATTAACAAGTTGGGCAAGAAGTAACAGCTGTAAAGCTTATGTACATGATGTATTATTTTAAATTCTATATAAGGAAAGAAGCCACTAAGCCGTGACAGCAGGAAATGGGTAATGTCAAATGAAATCACACAAAACAATGATGAATCTAATCTGCATAAAATGTTCCATTATCATTATTATTATAATTTTTTTAATGAATGAATCAATTAATTTATTATTCATGGATCTGGTTAATTTAAAATTGCATGCAGTTTTGTTTCAATTACTTATTCAGTAGAATGTGAGAATATTAAATTGATCTGGAAGGCATTACAGTGAATATATACTGGCCTAATATGAAACACCCCTAACACCCCGGCTGATCTGCAAAAATAATTTATTAGTATTTCTGTCTTGTATTCACCAGTACAAATATCTAAACATTCTTAAATCAAGATACATTTACTTGAGAAGCAAAACTACATGATATTGAAGGAATGGCTCACCCAAACATGAAAATTTGCGTTTAATTTGCTCACCCTCAGGCCATCCAAGATGCAGGTGACTTTTCTTCTTGAGTAGAACAGTAAAGAGGTTTTTTAGCTGAAACCGCTATCCTTGGTGATTCAAAAAACAGCTACTGGCACTTGAGAGTAAAAAAAAAGCAGATACAGGCGAGACAAAAGAGCTCAATATATCATCAGGAGCCACTGGAATTAATTTTGTCTCGCCTGTATATGCTTTTTTCACTCTCAAAGTGACGGCAGCCATTGACTTGCATTTTATGAATCACCTAAAAATCGTCTTTACTGTTCTACTGAAGAAAAAAAGTCACCTATAACATGACCTGAGGGTGAGCAAATTAACAGCACATTTTCATTTTTGGGTGAACTATCCCTTTAAGTCTTACCTTCTGAAAAAAATATTAAAATTAATGAGTTCACACTTAAAACATGAATGAAAATCATCTGCCAATAAGTTAAGAGCAATAATCTCGTATTCCCTTTGTGTTAAAATTTCTTTTTCTGACCCCACTGGCAGATTTGTTTTTTTTTTTGAGTGATGCATAGTGCACTTAAAATTTGAACTAGTTTTACTATGAGGGTTAACAGGAGCATATGTTCAGCAGCTCATTGAAAAATCGCCAACTCCAGCAATAAGGGCACTCAAAGGAGTCAAGACTTGGACAATACGGTAGTGTAAAAAAAAAAAAAAAGGCAAAAAATCAAACATGTACTTATTACTCGTGCTACAGTCATGCAAGGCTATTAGACATCAGTGTTAATGTAAATGCATGAATGAATTAATGAATAAAACAAAACTTTTTTTGTTGCTGTTGTCAGTTGAAATAACGCAGAAATAAATATTAGATGAAAAAGTTAAACTTAAACTTAAAATAAATTAAATGTTTTTAACTGAAATTAAGTTTAAGGTGAAGTACTAAAATTACTAAAACTGAAATATAAATAAATTAAAGCTAAATAGAAAATAAAAAAAACAAAAGATAAAATGACAAAAGCACATAACAAAATTACTAAAACAATGAACTAATAATTAAATATCAGAAAATGAAAAAAGTAAAAAATAATTAACATGATAAATGTTGCCTTGGCAACTGAAATAAAACAAGTTTAAGTTGGAGTACAATATTACTAAAGCTGAAAAAAAAGTTGAATAGAAAATAAAAAAACTCCTAAAAATGACAAATGCATATAACAAAATGAATATATATATATATATATATATATATATACACACACACACGTCTGGTTTGCTATCCTTGTGG